CCGTCTATCTTCGGCTCACGAATACGGAATCAAAAGTAACAGGGCAGTGTCCAATACGCCACCGTTTGGCTGACGAAAAAGGGATGATGGTACAAAAAAGTGAAACGTCAATACTTAGCCGAAGCCTATTAAAACCTCTGCTTGTAGAGTATGAATCACCAGTCTATCTGCGCCCTGTGTGAACTACTCACAAGACTCTCACAAGACAGACCGTCAGCATTTCCTTGTTCCGTTCTGTCTGAAATGAAGAGATTAGGTATCTGGAACTCTAATCGTGGGGCGACCAATCATGGACACAGGCGACCAACCAAAAATCCCCTTGCCCCACCGATTCTGCTCGGTGGTTACCTAACCCTACGAAAATACATTTAAGGAAAACGGTGGGAAAAAAATTCAGTGCAAAAGAGAAACCCCGATAAAAAAAGCCTAAAAACACACTAAAAATACCCCCAAAACCCAAACCTCTGCTTGGAGTGTATAGCCGACTGTGGGTGGGGGTAGTGATCGTGGGAGGTGCACTGGGCTCCAGGCTAACACAGCTCAGCCTTTTTGAGTTACAGGGGTAAAGATAAATACTACAAGTACAATCATGTTTCTTTCTTTCTAACCACGATTTTAACGGTCACCGTTTGAATCTCACGGTCAAGTCATCACGTGATATCACAGGACAAAGAACTATCAATTTGCACCACACCTAAATCAAAAGTATTCATGAAACTTTTATTGATAGGCTTCTTACATATGCAGAAGAAATGATTGTGCTTAGGGTAAAATAAAATGCTCAGTACCTTACAGTGTATATATCTACACATACAAATGCCAGTTTCATAAACGCATTCAAATACATCAGGTAAATGTCTGCAGTAAACATTATTACAAGCCCATACCTGAAGATGCACATATTTGCAACAGGAATAATATGAAAAGATATGATGGCTAATAAAGAAATATAGAATTAATATATATAACAAGTTAATGGTGCAAGAGAACTCTAAAACTTACTAGTATCTGATAGTTAAAACAAAATATTGCTGTACAGAGTAGAGTAACCACTTTTACATGGAAGGAATAACAGATCGCACTTCAAAACAATAACAGCCTTGTGCCATTGTAAACTTTATCTTGATCTACAGTGGTAGAAAGGGCACGTCATCCCCATCTCCAAACCACTGGTCGTCTGGTTCTGGTAATAGAATTTCATCTTGCAATTCCGGAATGTTCTGCACGGGGGCATGTACCTGCACTTCCACAATGTTCCTAACTGGAGCCTGTTCTTGATGTTCCGGAATGTTCCGTCCCGGAGCTTGTTGTTCCGGAATGTTTCGTTCCGGTGCTTGTGCCTGTTGTTCCGCTATGTTCCGTTCCGGAACTTGTACCTGCTGCTGAGGCTCTGGGTCCCGGGGTAGAGGATCGCCCAGAGCGTCTTGCAGCCGCCTCCAGAACAGCGGCCTTTTTCGCACGTCGTGTGGCCACTCCAGGTACGTGTCCCTCTTCACTACGGCGTTCAGATGCCGGAACTGCTTCAACATTCGGTTAGGAATCCTCTCCAGAAACACCAGGATGAGACGCCTCCCTCCCCCCTCCTCAAACATGTGGTACTGGGCCAGCTGGAACTCGTACTCGCACCACTTACTCTTCAGGAAGTTCCTGGTGATGAGGCAGACGGTTCTCCGGCTGTTTTCCACGGCATCCGCGATGTTTTCCACAATAGGAGCGCCGACTGCAAAGTCCCTTTCGTGTATGACCAGACTGTAGTCAGGTTCCAGATTCCCTATCGCTTCATGTATAACCCACCCGACGTCCCGGTTGTTGTAGGCAATAAAAGCATCGTGCGTGTATCTGGGAGGCCCTTGGTTCTTTACTTCGCCAATCTTCGGTCTCCTCCACTTGTCCACCATCCACAGGTAGTACTGAACACGGCCGATGTGGTAGTCGACCAGGAAAATGGTCGTCATGGCGACGAAGATGCCCGAAGAGGCGAGCACACAAGCCAGGAGGCGGTTGGGCCGGAATCCATGACTACACACTGTGTCGAAGAACTTTCGTTCTGATGGATCTTTGTCGTTAGATTCTTGTTTCTGCGTCAACCCGTCTATCAAACGTCTTTCACGCAGTTGAGCTGGACGGGAACATGTGTACCGTCGAAGGACGTCAGGAAAGGGGTTGTGGAAGTTCGCTACCCTGTCGAATTTATCCAGGGCCCACTCAACAAACCACATTAACTTACAGTCACACAGAAACGGGTTGTCCGCAATGTCGACACTCTCTAACTGGTAGACAACAGGACCCAATGCTGTTTGATTTAACACAGCCAACCTGTTGCTCCTCAGATTCAGGTGCCTCAACCCGTACAGACGCTGAAAGGCGTCCCCAATCACTGCTATGCTGTTGGCCTCTAGGTTGAGATGTGTAAGGTTGCCTAAACCTTCAAATGTCATGTCTGTCATATACTGTATCTCGTTGTTACTGAGATCCAGGAATTGTAGCCGCGACAGTCCACGAAAGGCGGATGGCATGACGGTGTTGATCTCGTTATGACTGAGATCTAGATGTTCCAGCTGGTCCAACCCTGTCAGTTGTCCTGTTTCGATACGCTGGATTTGGTTGTGAGAAAGAGTCACCATTTTCAAGTTGTTTATCATTCTTTGTGGTAAAAAATTTATTACTTTAATAACGTTGTTATCCAGCCTAAGTGTTTCTACAACTGATTGCCCACAGGGTGCACGTGGTTCATCGATAAAACGAAGATTTTATTGTTAGAAGGTCGAGATGCCGTACAGTCGCAAAGCAGAATGGATATATCATCACTTCTATATTGTTGTGTTGCAAATCAAGCACAGTAATGTTCCTAGGTAGACATTCGAGGCCAATATATTCAATTTCATTGTCACTCAAATCCAGATGATTCACGCTATTTAAACCACTGAGATCCAATGATGTAGAGAGGCGACATGTGTTTCTGTTCCTTTGTAACTTATTTGGATTGATCATGAGATCAAAATAGTTCAATGTGTCTGGAAGCTGAGCTGGGAAGGTTTGCAAGTAGTTATGGCTACAAATTAACATGGGTGAGTGAGGTCAGTCCTTACGAACACGTCTGGTAGGTAAAGTAGATATTCTGTAATGTGTTAAGCTAAGATGAGTGACCGAGGGTAGTCCGCTGAACGCCATATCCTGTAAAGCTAGCGTTACATAGTAGCCCCGCGTCAGATCCAACCTTTGTAAATGTGACAAACCCGCAAAGGCGTTAGCTCCTATGATGTGAATAGGGCTCCAGTCAAAGCGCAAAGTTTCCAAGCGTTTCAGGGCTTTTATTTCCGCCAGAGTATCACATGTTATTGCGTTCATTTCCATGGCATTGATAAATGATAACTCCTGAATCTGTGTGTGTCGGAGTTCAGGCAGAATGTTCATAATGTCGCGAGCGGGATTTGAACTAAGGTCTAACTGCAGCGACTGCAGATGTATGAGTGACTTCAGCAGGCCGGGACCTATCTTAGCGTCAGTGCGTAAATGTTTCAAAGTTGGTAACAGAGGTCGGAACATTTCAACATTGAGGGTCAATGAAGATGACTGTATTTCTATAGTATCCAACTTGGATATGTTTCTAAATACAGGTCCAAAGTAAAAGTCACTCGCTCTCGGTAGATCAGTGAGACTCAATGTTTTAAGGTTGTGCAGCGGTGCCCACAGTAAGCGTCGTTGTAAGAACCCACTTCCGCTATGGACTCTTCTCATGGTGGTATTTCGGTCCTCGTTTATGTAATCGCCGAGTTCCCGTATCTCTAGGTTTTCCAATGAAGTCAAAGGGTCAAAAATATGATCGGGTAAATTGCTGATATTTTTAACGCGGAGTTCTAAAAGCCCGACTTGAGATAACCCCGAGAACACTCCCTCACTGGCAACACTATCTGTGTACGTCTCCACGGTCAGATAGTTCAGGTTTCGCAGATCTTGGAAAAGTCCATTTTGAAGAGAATACAATTGCGTCGTATTTCGCACAGAAGTCAGATAAAAAGGAAGATTATACCTATCACCTATATCAAGACGTTCTAATGTCTCTAACCCAGTGAATGTACCAACCTCGATAGTCTGTAGATTGTTATAAGACAGGTCCAAGGATCTCAGGTTTCCTAACCCACCAAACGAGCCGTTATACAGTATGGTTATGTTGTTCCAACGGAGATCTACTGTGATGACAGACTCGGGGATGCCGGGGGGTACCTGGGTTAGACGCAATCGGGTCCGTGGTGGCGGAGCAGGTAGAAAATCCGGTATATCCGTATCCCCTTTACACACGACAGTTGTTGAGTTCCAGGTCTGACACACAGGTGGGGGGAGTTGTCCTCTAACCCGTCCATGTTGGACGATGAACATGGAAACCACAGCCAAGCAGACGGCGAGAGGAGCGGGTTTAGACTCCATGTCGGTCTGGTGGCGTTTTTCTCTGGTTCGTCTCGTTGCGTGGGCCGATATGAACACCTGAAGTTCATGGTAAATAGGGGCATGAGGCGTATATATGTGTCCATTTTAGAAGAAGCTAAAATTATTCTACCCATATCACTTCAGTTTCCGTAAAGAAATACTCCTTCAGTTTTTGTGAAAATTAAAGAAACGGAAACTAAAGTGGTATGGCCTGGCATGCCACGGTCATCGGGACAGGCCGAGACCACCATAAAAGGAGAGATAAGTGCGTACTTGTCTAAGAAGTTAGTAAGGCAGGTGTCCAGGATTGTTGTAAACAGTTTGGCCAGGCAGTTTAAAAATTCCCCTGTTTGTTTGGGTCGTCTTTGGCACCACCCTTACTGAATGCCTTATGTATAGCTACTGTATGAGTTGTACGAGTACACCATTGCTGGGGGAAATAGCCGGATGAGATAAATATGTTGAAAGATTTAAGGAGGACATGGGATGCACATTTTAACATTTCATTAAGTATGAGGTCGTTACCGGAAGCTCTACCGTGTTTTAACCGGGATATTGCATGTCTGATTTCAGTTCCTGTATCACATTGTCTAGTGGGTTGTTATTCGCTAGTTCATTTTCTAGTTCTATTAATCTGGATATAATCAACAGTGACGATTTCTCTACCAACATAAATAAGTTTCTGAAAAGGAACTACGACCTCACACCAACCTCAGTTGACTCAGCACTAAATGACTTCCTTACACCTCTACAAGAAGCCGGCAAAAATTCCTTACGCCTACGCTTCACCAAAAA